GAGGAAGTACAGGCCTGTCTGTACTTGAACCTTGATTTCTGGCTTCTGGGCTTGGGAACTGGAGTCAGTTTCTACTGTTTGGGGCCACTTGGTGTGTGGTCCTTTGTACAATACCAAGAGGCTAATACATTTGTCTGCTGGGTCACTCAGTGGGGAGATGTGCAGGCCACAGGGGTCAGGGTATCTACAGGGGTCCCTGAGGGTAGAGACAGGATACAGAAAGTTAGGGAAAGCTGGGAAAATAGCCGGGGTACGTGGGAAGGCTCCTTTATCTGGATTCATAGGACATTGTGAGGGGCTGTGCAAAAGTCCTCTGCCCACTCAGGCAGACCTAGTCCTGAGCCATTCCCAAGGTGTCTTCCACAATAGCCAGCATACCTACCACAGGCTCTGAGGAGACCTGCTCTACCTTTCCAGCCTCTGTGGGCTCCTAGCAGTCCTAAGCATTGCAGTGGGTGGCTGCCTCCCTCCTATCTCAGCCTATCTGCTTCTTCCCTGGGTTGCTCTGTCCTTCTCTTCTGATAGGGACAATAGTCATTCAACCTGGGGCAGGTCCTAAATCAAAGATGCTCTTAACTCAAGATCCTTAATTAATTATTTATACATGGACCCAAGGCTAGGCAAGGTCACACTCTTAAGTTTCTATGGACATGAATGTTGAGATGACTAGTCAACTAGCTGGGTAAGCACTCTAAATGGTCTCCTATGATTGGGCTTCAGTCTGTCTGTCAGATAAACAGCACTGTACCTGGTGATTCCTCCCCTGCCTAACAGGGGAGTCCCTCACCTTTTGGGGAGGAAGTCTTCATGTCTCTTACACACATAGGCCATTCCCTGGTGGTAGTGACTTATGGGATAGCCATATGACCCTGGTCCCACTGTCTATAGTCTGCTCTCAAGTTATGTCAGTATTTGAGTCCTGGGGGTGGGGGTATGACTGTGTAGCAGACATGGGAGTGGAGGGCATCCTGCTTTAATCCCCACAGCCATGATTTCAGAGAAGGTAATAAGAGACCTAGCAGACTGGGAGATCCCAGTGCTCCCAAAGCAGAAAGGTACCCAGCCACATCTCCAGACAAGGACTGGCTTCCTTGGGACAGCTGTTCTCTCCTGGACAAGTTTCTCCACATCTCTGAGCTTCTTCCTTTGTAAAGAGGAAGAACATTACTAGCTCTGCAGGTCATCAGGTGAGGGTTATGGATGGCTGTGGGCACTTAGTGAGTGGACATACAAGGATTCAGGAGTGGCAAGGGCTCCAGTCTATGCAGCAACCCCACACAGCATTACAGTACTTCCATGTATATGCTCAGGGAAAGACTAGTAGAGGAATCAGTGGAAGTCTAATCCCCACTGTCACCAGGAACTCTGGAGCTGGTGTCCCCTGCTTTCCCCTAGGAAAGCCAGCCCTCCAGGGGGGGCTCTACTGGCCATAGCAATGGAAGGAGCAATATGCCCTGGCATAGTCGTGGTTCAGTCACGTAACAGCAGAGCAAGCTCTCCTCAGCTCATTCTAAGCTCTGCCCAAACAAGAAGCCATCCCCACATCCCTGTCAATACCATTTCAAAACAGTGTGTGGGAGACCTGGGTCAGCACCCTGGGACTGCTGAAGAAGGAAGGCTGCCAAGAGAGAAAATCCCATAGGCAGGGGCTCTTAGAGCTGTCCAGGGGCCACTCCAAGGGCTTGCTGAGCACCTCCTAGGGGACTGCCCAGGCAGTGCAGTGATTTCCCCTAGCCTTGACACCATGTATATGGAATGCTGCTCAGGCAGGGGAGGCACTCTGACTCGCCAGCTTGGTCTCCTTTTCCATAGCCTGTCCCAGCTGCTACCAGCACAGCCTCCTTGCTATTCTTTCCAGGGAAATGCAGCTGTTTCCAAATGCACAGAACATGCAGGCTTCCAGAGTATCTGCCTGGGGTGAACTCAGATCTGTCTCCCATTTTGCAGCTCTTGCTGCTCCTGCCTGGATTTCATTTGGTGCATCCATAGTCTCCCCAGACACACTGAAGATGCTTTGTTCACCTCTGAAATAATCTTTACACAGGCAGGGACAGAAAGCCTGGTGAGTTCAACTTATCATCATAACAGTATCATCATAACAGTATAATTGTGGCATGACTGGCACAGTGAACTGTGCATATGCCCAGGTACAGTCTGTGATTATGACATGTGTTCACCTTGCAGTGGCACAGCGCCCCCCCCCCCATCCCCCGCAGGAACTCTGGATCCATAGGCTCAGAAGACAAAGCTCAGAGTAAGAGCAGAGAGAGTGAACAGAGCAGCAGACAGGCAGGGGCTAGGAAGAAGCATCCATAGGCCCCAGAACAGCAGAGAATGCTAGGTACAAAAATGATCTACTGGTCACATGAGATGATTAGGACCTCCAAAGATAGAAATCTGGTGATGAGAGGGTGTCTTAGAAACAGGAAGGACACAGGCATCTGGGTTCCAGCCCCCACATCCAGTGGCCTGAGCTGGCCTCTGCTGTACTACCTATCCCTCTCCCAGTCCCGTCAGGACCCTCTGGGAGGAGGCTGCATGATAAGAGGAGCAAAGCAGTCCTCTGAGCATGACTGAGGACTCCTCAGAACACTGTCTCCCTCCCTGTTCTGAATTAGCAGGCTTCCCTGGCCTTTCCCATTGTCCCTTACATCCCTGCCTGCCATGGCTCCCCTCACCTCTGAGACTGGTAGTGGCTTCTCCCTGACCCCACCAAAATTCCCAGAGCCTTCCAGGACCAGACAGGTCACTTGGGAGCCAGGGGAGCTAAGCTGCAACTCTGGTTCAATTTTTCCATCTATAAAAGAGGAAATTGATTTTGAGATCCTTTCCAGGGCAATGCAGTTTATGAACAGGCTTGTGTTACAAATAAACTGAACAAGCAGAGAGGTGTGTCTCACCCTGTAAGCCTCTCTCAAGTTGATGAGAACCGGGGTAAGATTGTATGTGTCATGTAGGTACATTATATGTGTGCATATTTGTACACAAACGTACACACATCAGTGTATACACTAACCACACTCCTCAGCCACCCCTCTGGGCATGCTAGCGCTTGGCCCATAAATGCTTCACCTGAAAACATCTGAATGGTTCATTTTTCTATCTTGTGTACACACTAGCTTACTGAAAAGCAGCACAAGGAAAGACCCTGGAAATTCATAGCACTAGAGACAGGTAACAACCAGTACTTAGAGGCTGCACTGACTTAGCTGAGAAGGACACTCATGTGGTGTGGACACTCATGATCTGTAAGATTTAACAGGCCAAAATTCATCAAAAGACACTGTACATGCTGGTCCAGTAGACCAAGTAGAATGGATGTAAGTCTGAGCATGGGTAACTTCACAATTATATTGATCAGAAGCATAAGGACATTTTCTGGGAAATGGCAAGTGTTTGGAGTTAGAAATGACTCCATGCTTGAGAAATGCTTTGGAGCATCCCAGTAGTTGAAGGTCTGTGCTGCCAGACTTTGGCTGTCTACCTCGGGAGGCCATGTGCAACTGGGTGTTGCCTGCCATGGCCAAGGCTCACCACTAGAGTGAGAACTGAGAAGCAGGACAAATGATAACTCAGGAGATGAGTCTGGTCCTTGAACAGGCTGAGCATTTCCAGAGTGCTCAGAGCTAGGACCCGATTTAAGCTCTTCCTCTCCCTGCTCTCTAGAAATAATTAAGGGGTAAGTGGTTCAAGAGGAAATTGAGTGGTGCTTCTGAAGCAGCTCAGAGCAAACAGCCCTCCCAGAGAGGCTGGGGGCACTTCCTGTTCTCTTCCCAGCCACCACCACCCCTGTGGGAGTTTTGCTCAACTATAGTGGCTTCATAGAGCTCATACTAGACTACAGCTGGGCCCCTAGAAAGATGAGAGCCCATGAGAACCCCAAAATGAGGTAGAGGTCCTGTGGGCTGCAGCCTGCCCCTGGTCCCATGAGGGCTTAGGGTGACATAATGACTAGGAAGCTACACAGAAAGAGGCCAGTCAGATACAGGCCCCACTGGGTAATAGGGATTAGAGGTTCTGATATTCCTAGAGGAGCCAGAGCCAGGCCAAGAGCCTCTACTCCTCATAATTGGAATAGAGATCCTAAGTCCTCAGTATGGAGGAAAATCTCCAGGCTTGGCTAGGGAGAATGCTAGCCGGAGAATTGGGATGGAAAGTTCTATAGAGCAAGGACCTTAGCCAGTACTTCAGCAGTGTGGGAAGTGGGAGGGTCTGGTGTCTGGGCTGGAAGCAACCTAGATGGTAGGATCCTGTGTTCTCAGTTGATCAAGCACTGAGGACGGAACCCAGCAGTGTTTCCGGGTTATGACTAAACCAGCCTAGTGTCTGACCCTGGGAGCCAGGCTGTGTGTACCTGGACAAGTTAGTAACCTCTCTGGCCTCACACCTCCCTATCTTAAATGGGGTATTAGGCCCAAATGTGTCTCCTCTAATTCCTATATAGAAGTTCTAACTCCCAGCATGATAGTCTACAGAGACTGGAGATTTGGGAAGTGCTTAGATTTAGATGGGATCATGAGGATTAAAGTACTTATAAGAAGAAGAAAGAATAGCAGCACACTGTTTGCTCCAATGTGAAGACATGTGCAACCCAGGAAGACAAGCCTCATCAGAAACCCACTCTGCCACACCTTGGTCTGGGATGAAGCCTCCAAAGCAGTAAGGAAGAGTCCCTGATACTTAAGACTCTGATGTTTAAGCTGCAGGCCAGGGCACTTTGTGATGGGAACATGAACTAAAACTTGAGATAACAGCTGATCATTGAGGTGATGTATGCTAAAGGCGAGGAGGGTGTTAGTATTATGGATGCAGGCAATACAGTGGTGTTGAGATAATACAATTCCACAGGAACCCACAGCACATCCCTGTGTATCTGGCATCATGCTTCCGGAAGCCAGATGTGCAGCAGATGCTGATCAGCAATCCATGGGCAGGTACTGAGCAGTGCAGGCTGGGACCCAACCTGACTCAACATTGCACAGCTGTTCCACTAGACTCACCTGTATCATGTACAGCTGGGCAATGCGGTACTCTTCCACAGTCATTGGCAGGGGAATTCGATATTCCTTTATGATCATCTTGGAGTCCACACCTTCCCGACGACAGGCAACTGTGTGTTTCTGGGGACTTCTAGGCGAGAGTCCTTAAATAACCATGACAGAATTCAACGAGGACCCTTGAGAGAGAGAGACGGAGAGGATAGGCTAATCAAATCACTTTCTGTAATAGCTGGTAGGTGTGGTAGCAGAGGAAAGCCCAGGTCTAAATCCGAGGCTAGAATTTTGGTCTCAACACTGGTGAGCCAAGAGTGACCTCTCATTCCTCCCCTCTCTGGCCTGTTTCCTTGTTTGCTAAGCAATCTTGAAGTGCTGCTGGAAGGACTAAGTGAGAGGCTGTGTGTGTGAACTCTATGTCAACAGTCTCCGGGAAGTGAAGGAGAGTCAGCCTGCTCCCAAGCCCAGGAAGGGCACTGTGCTCCTGCCTTGCTTGCCACCCCTCATTTTCTCATATTATTTTAGTAGGCCCTGTGATATAGCATAACAGATGGCCGATGGCTGGTCAAGGGAAAGAAAGAGGGACAAACAAGTGATGCAAAGCAGATGTGAATAAAAACTTAGTAGGTGGAACCTTTGGTGTGGAACAGTCAGTAAGGTTCACAACCCCAGGTATGGTGGCACCCTTGTGTCCTAGAAGTTTGGTGTCAGTTCTATCTGAAAATATGTTTCCTGGCACCTGTTCTATTGTTGACATTGAAGTTAGCAGAGATAAACAGATAAATCAAACTTCTTTTTCTTTGATATAGGGGCTCACTATGTAGCCCAGGCTGGCCTCAGATCCACAAGCCTGCTGTCTCAGGCTCCCAAGTTCTAGGATGACAGATATGCCACTATGCCCGACACTTCTTTTCAAGGTGACAAAGAATATATTTGATGAAGATTTGCCCATAAAGCCATCAAACTCAAAAGCCTGAAGGAGGCACACTGTGAGCTCAGGAGATGAAATCACCCACACCCATTGTATCTTAGCTTTCCCGAGTAGTGGCAGTTGCCTTTGGAGGGTCACTGCTGTTAAGTGGGAGCTGAATACAGGTTTCTGAGATAGAGAGTGGAAGGGCAGGACCATTCCAGGGATGGCAGTCAGGGTTCATGGTGATCTGGGGCAGGGCATTGGCTAAGCAGTAAGGGTGATTCAGGGCACCAAGGCTGACCAAGCACATAAACATTACCATGGCACTACAGCATGTGAGGATGCTGAAGTGGGACCAAGAAAACCCTTGGAAGATCAGGCTATAGTGCTGAAAGAAACCCTTTACAACAATTAGTGAGAAAGCCCTATAAACAGCCAAAGAAGGTGCCTGTTTATTCCATCCTGTTTACTTTATCACAGCAGGTAGGACCGTCACCCCAAAGCCCATGGGACCCCAACCGAAGTTCCCACATTCGGTTGCTTTATACTTTACATGAAGATTCTTTCTGATAATCAGGGCTCATCTACCTTACATATCCTGTGAAGCTGCACCCACATTCACTGGCCACAGAGAAGACAAGGCTTGGATCTGCACACAATCTGACCCCAGCTACCCCTGGGAACTCTGACCATTGTGAACTGAAGCGACATTACCTGGACACAGGGCCCCTATGGCTCCCCTCCTGGGAACTCCTGTCCTCTTATCTCCTCCCTGGAGTGTTGGTCATGTGGGGACCTTCTCTCTCAGGCAACCTGTTCAAGTGCTGCTGGACAAAGCGTCTGCGATAGCTGCCCAATGTCCTGTCTGTCCCTTGATCAGCCCTGAATCCCTGAGTTTATCAAGGACCAGATCTCACCAACAGGATCACAGTACATGGGTTTAGGTTTGAGTAGAAGAGGCTAAGGCAGGGGGCTGCCCTTGTGGACTTCTTTTCTCATCTGTCTAGGTCTGACACTGCTTATCCAGGTCCACATGCTCTGTTCCAGTCCAGCTGAAATTAAGGCTATGAAGGAGATAAGGAACCACCCTCTGTTTTCAGGCTACACCTTGTCCCATGAGAGGGTGGGAAAAAAGAGCCCTGTTCAGACAAAGTGGCAAGGAATCTAAATCTGACACCTGGTTGGACTTCCAAATGGATAAAAGGATGGAACTCAGAAAGTTGAGTATGGAAACTCCTTTACACATACAAAGGGGAGAGACACCTGTGCTTGGGAGAAGTTGGATGAAATCAGGGGTAGACATGGGAAAGGGAAACCAGGGTACTCTAAAGCTTTTCCATGTGGCTCTTCAATGAAACCCCAGAACTGCCTGGCTTGGAAGGATCTACGGAAGTCCTTGCAGAGAAGTGTCATGTGGCACCTACATTCACATCTGTGGGGTCTCTGGTGTTTCTTCATTGCACTGGGGTAAAGGCACTGTCCCTGTATCAGTCACATTTTATCATCTGGATCATGGATGTCAAACTCATTCTCTAGGTGTTCTTTAGACCCTGAGCAGTATAAGCTGACTACCTTTTCAATATCTTAACCACTTGGTGGAAAATGTGGCCCACGTGTGGCTGCAGGCTTATGGACTAGGGGCAAGAAAGGGCCTATGGGCCTGGATTAAGCATGTTCCTTAAAGGTCTTGGCCCATCAAATTGTCCAGGGATGAAATCTCAGAGCCTGGGCCAGCATGCAGACACCAACTTGCATCTCAGCTTTCAGAGGCTCTGTGAGACAAGCTGCCAGGTAAGCTGTAACTACATGGATGAGGTCTACCCTTCCATGTACAGGCTGACAGAGATATGGTGTAGACATTAAGCCAAAGGTTTCTGGGTATCTCCCACTACCAAAATGAGCTGGGTTAGCAGCAAAGCTTAGTCAAAAGAGCAAAAGAGCATTCTGAGGACCATCAGACAATGAAGGGCGAGGCTGCAACTCCATCTCAGGCTGGATGAAGAATAGGGACTGTGTTCTGCCCACGAGGTTCTATGGAGGACAGGAGGTAGACGGGCAGAGACACAGACAGATGGAAGGGACAAATAGCTTAGTACTGTTAACTACCAGGTGCACAGAGACCAACAGCAACAAAGAGGACTCAACTCCAAGACTGACAAAATGTGACAGGTGTGTGTTTGGAGTTCCCTCTGAGATCTGACTGAAAAACTTGACACTCTATTTCCTAGCTATTTGGATTCCTGGAAAAAGCTGCTGAGTCTCAGTCTCTCCATATATGAAGTATGACTGAGGCCATCTGACTTCCAGAATTATTATAAGTTGTCACTAGAATAAAGTAAGATCAGAGGAGGGGCCCCAGGTGCTATGAGACTTGGGAAAGGTTTTACAAAGGGGGATCTGGACTCACGAAACCCATGTGATTCTGCTTGGCAGAGCTGGGAGTGAGAGAGAGGACACACTTTAGGCAAAGGGACAGCATGAACAAAGCAGACTTGTGGTACATCATCAGAGTGTCCTCCCATGGACATGTCACCAGCACCACCATGTGGTGTTCTGGAGAGGTAGGATAGCTATGCCCAACCACGCACAAGCCTGTGAAAGTCAGTTCCTAGCAGGGGACAGAGCAGGGTGAGCTAATACTGTTATTGACTTCTAGGAGTGCCCTCCAACTTGGGGGAGGTGTGAAGAAAAGTTACACACCAAACAAAGAGTGACTATCAGGAGTCAGGCTACACTCATTTGCCCTCTGAAGGCCTATGCTTACCCTATGCCCACTGGAGCTCCTTCTTGGTGTGCCTTGAGAGTTCAGCACTTTCTTGGGGCATCCCCAGAAGAGGAGTGGGAATAAGAAAGTGGACCCAGTGAGTTCTTTGTTTTTCTAGTGCTAGAGATAGGCCCTAGGCCTTGCACATGGTGGACAAGTGCTCTACCACTGAGCTGTATCTCCAGCGCTAGACCCAGTGACTTCTGAGTGCTGGCCACATTGGAGTCTTTCTAGGAGCTCACACTGACAGCACATTTAACATCCTGTCTGGCCATACCCTTCCCTTTTCTTATACAGAAGGATGACAAGCCTGTTTTTTCCTAGTCATACCCACACTGTGCACCTGGTGTCCTTCTAAAGATGCCAGTACAAGTGTTTTGGCTCCACTGTAAGCCTCCTAGCAGTCACACAGCTGATAAATGAGGAAGTCATTGACAGCCCAGACTCCAGACTGTGAAGCTCCAGCCAGATCCCAGGACATCTGAGATGGAAGGAAGGAGTATGCTGAGAGGTAATATATGCTACCCAGATCCTCAGGAAACATTCCTCCTCAAAGTCACAGCTATTACCCTCTCATTGGGATGATAAACTCTAAGGCTAGAGATGTACCCTGAGGGATTAGTTGTTTTTGTTTAGCTTTTACGTGTGTGTGTGTGTATGTGTGTGTGTGTGTACCTATGTGGGCAAATGTATGCCACAGTGTGTATGTGGAGGTCAGAAGACAACTTGTGGAAGTCACCTCCTTCTACTATATAGGTCCCATAGCTCAAACTCAGGTCGTCAAGCATGGCAGCAAGTGCCTTCACCTGCTGAGCTATCTCACTGGCTCACATTTTACTTTTTATTAAAGTATTATATAAAAAGATGCATCTATTATAAGTAGAAATTTTCAGTGAATTCACCCATATGGTTAACACCCACATCATGAAGTAGAATGCTGGTGCTCCCAGAGAGCTCCCGACTAGCCTGCTAAGAAATGGAAACAACTTAAATGCCCCTCAACTGATGAATGGATAATGAAAATGTGATACATTTACACAATGGAGTTCTACTCAGTGGTGAAGAAAAACAAAATCATGAAATTTTCAGGTAAATGGATGGAACTAGAAACTGTCATACTATGTGAAGTAACACAGAATTAGAAAAACAAGCAACATGTTTTCTCTCATTTGTAGATCTTAGCTCCAAATTCTTAGATGTGATTATATATCCTTATGTAACCACAGGAGCCAGGAAAATGGAAAGGACCATGGAGATAAAGGGGAAGAAGAAGCTCTGGAGAGGGGAACAGTGAGAGACAAGTGTTATCAAGGGGGAAATGGGAGGGACACTTTAACTGGGGAGGGAGGAAGGAGGATTATACAGGGAAGGAGAGAGGAGATATAAATAATGCTTAGGTGGTGTGAAAAAACAGATGGAAATGTATTAATTCAAAATCCTACTGAAAAATACACATTATCTATCTATCTATCTATCTATCTATCTATCTATCTATCTATCTATCT